TATTACATGTATTGCTTTTGAAGGTTTAAACTCCCTGTCTAATTTAGTTTTGTCATCATTCCTAACACTATTTCCCTGTAATCTTTCGCCTTGTTTACCCGCTCCCACTGCAGTCTCCTCCACCCCCGTGCTCCTATGTTCTCTTAGCAGTTTAAAGACTTCGATATCTTTTGAACTGCCCCCTCTAGAGCCCCAGCCAGGGTTGCTACTCCATCCCTAGACAGGTGCACCCCATCCCTAGCATAAAGGTCCCTTCTGCCATAGAAGTTGTCCCAGTTGTCAATGAATGGGACTGATATTGACTTGCAATATCTGTCAAGACGGTCGTTAACACCAACTGCCCTTGACAACCATTCACTGCCAACTCTCCTTCTAGGCAGGACACCGCATATGATAGGGATCCCTCCCTTAGTCCTAATACGATCTATGGCTGCCTTGAACTTATCAAGAAGTTCCTCGCTCCTACACCGGCCAATATCATTGCCTCCTGCACTGAGGCAGATAATGGGTTTGTTCCCATTACCAGACAAGATATTGTCCATCCTGTCAACTATATCCCCCACCCCAGCTCCTGGCAAACACACCCTCATCCTATTTTTGTTTTTACCACAAAAGGCCCTGTCCATGTACCTTACCTGTGAGTCACCAACAATTAAAGTTTTTATACCTTCCTTGTCATCCCTGCCCCTGACTGTACTAACGTCCAATTCGTCTATCAAGGGACTGAACGGGTTGGTACACTTAGCTGTTGTTGTCGTTGTTGTCGTATCCTTCGAGTGCTTCTTTACCACCAGCTTGGTCCTGCCACTACTCACGACTTTCCACTCGTTTGATTTTTCGTCAGACACTGGCTTTACTCGTCCAGCCTCTCCTTTTAACTTCGCCAGCTCTTTCCTTAATTTCAGGTTCTCCAACGTGGCCCTCTCAATTTCTAACTTGGCCCTCGCCAATTCTTCAGTGGACCACTCCAGTTTGGTCAACAAACTCTCATACCCAAGACCGCACATATCACTGGCCATATCTGATAATTATCCCTCTGGAGCTAACCCTGCCGTGACCTTTCCCCTAGTGAGGTCAGAACACAACTATATATATATATATATATATATATATATATATATATATATATATATATATATATATATATATATATATATATATATATATATATATATATATATATATATATATATATATATATATATATATATATATATATATATATATATATATATATATATATATATATATATATATATATATCTATCTATCTATATATATATATATATATATATATATATATATATATATATATATATATATATATTACATATTATTATTATTATTATTATTATTATTAAACCTACAGTTGTGGTAACATATCTACTCCTATATAACGTTGTATACTTATTCTTCATTTACGCTCTCACCTCTATCTTCTTCCCATTCTACTCATTGACTGTAGGGTTCCCAGGAAGCTATCAGGATATTCAGACAAACTGCATGTAGGGTTTTCTCGGCCATGCTCGGGAAACTGAAGGACGGGAAGAACATCAGTGTGGAATGTAAGAAACACGATGAAGGTAAAAGAATGGACATGGAGGAAGTATTGAGAAAGATTAAAGTGTGTTGATGAAGTATGTTCAAGACATTAGAAATGATGCACTTAATGTGGTAAATCAAAGAGCAGGTAATGCTAGCACAAAGTGAGGTGGTCTAGCTCACTCAGTGTGTTGGTGTACCTCACGCAGTGTGTGGTGGAGCACCTCACTCAGTGTGTTGGTGTACTATTCAGTGTGTGGTGGAGCACCTCATTCAGTGTGTGGTGGAGCACCTCACTCAGTGTGTGGTGGTGCACCTCACCAGTGTGGTGGTGCACCTCACTCAGTGTGTGGAGCACCTCACCAGTGTGTGGAGCACTCACTCAGTGTGTGGTGGAGCACCTCACTCAGTGTGGGAGCACCTCACTCAGTGTGTGATGGAGCACCTCACTCAGTGTGTGGAGCACCTCACTCAGTGTGGTAGAGCACCACCTGTGTGGTGGAGCACCATGGTGGTGGAGCACCTCACTGTGTGGTGGAGCACCTCACAGTGTGTGTGTGGAGCACCTGCTCTGTGTGTGGTGGAGCACCTCACTCAATGTGTGTGTGGAGCACTCACAGGTGGTGGAGCACTCACTCTGTGTGGTGGAGCACCTCACAGTGTGTGGTGGAGCACCTCACTGTGTGGGAGCACCTCACTCAGTGTGTGGTGGTGAGCACCACTCAGTGGTGGAGCACTCACTCAGTGTTGGTGGAGCACCTCACCAGTGTGTGTGAGCACCTCACTCAGTGTGATGGAGCACCTCACTCAGTGTGTGGTGGGAGCACCTCACCCAGTGTGTGGTGGCACCTCACCAGTGTGTGGTGGAGCACTCACCCGTGTGTGATGGAGCACCACTCAGTGGTGGTGGAGCACCTCACTCAGTGTGTGTGGTGCACCTCACTCAGTGTGTGGTGGTGGTACCTCACCATTGTGTGATGGAGCACCTCACTCAGTGTGTGATGGAGCACTCACTCAGTGTGTGGTGGAGCACCTCACTCAGTGTGTGTGGTGGAGCACCTCACCAGTGTGTGGTGGAGCACCTCACTCAGTGTGTGGTGGAGCACCTCACTCAGTGTGTGATGAAGCACCTCACTCAGTGTGTGGTGGAGCACCTCACCCACTGTGTGGTGGAGCACCTCACTCAGTGTGTGGTGGAGCACCTCACTCAGTGTGTGATGGAGCACGTCACTCAGTGTGTGATGGAGCACCTCACTCAGTGTGTGGTGGTGCACCTCACTCAGTGTGTGGTGGTGTACCTCACTCAGTGTGTAGTGGTGTACCTCACTCAGTGTGTGGTGGAGCACTTCACTCTGTGTGGTGGAGCACCACACTCTATGTGGTGGTGCACGTCACTGAGTGTGTGGTGGTGCACCTCACTGAGTGTGTGGTGGTGCACCTCACTGAGTGTGTGGTGGTGCACCTCACTGAGTGTGTGGTGCAGTACCTCACTCAGTGTGTGGAGCACCTGCCTTCTGTGGTGGAGCACCTCACTCTGTGTGGTGGGAGCACCACGCTTGTGTGGTGGTGCACCACTGAGCGTGTGGTGATGCACCTCACCCACTGTGTGGTGGAGCACCTCACTCAGTGTGTGGTGGAGCACCTCACTCAGTGTGTGGTGGAGCACCTCACTCAGTGTGTGGTGGAGCACCTCACTCAGTGTCTGGTGGTGTTCCTCACTCAGTGTGTGGTGGTGCACCACTGAGTGTGTGGTGGTGCACCTCACTCAGTGCAGGTGGGTGCACCTCACTCGGTGTGTTGGAGCACCTCGCTCTGTGTGGTGGTGCACCTCACTGGTGGCCTGAGCACTGCCTGTGTGTGGTGGAGCAACTCACTCTGGTGGTGAAGCACCTCACTCTGTGTGGTGGAGCAACTCACTCAGTGTGGTGAAGCACCACCTGTGTGGTGGAGCACCTGCTCAGGCAGGTGATACTATTGCTTCAGAGTCTACCGATACGCAGCAGATTGAGTGTACCCCTGGAGCTTCTTTTGAGGCGTTTGTGTGTGTGTGTGTGTGTGTGTGTGTGTGTGTGTGTGTGTGTGTGTGTGTGTGTGTGTGTGTGTGTGTGTGTGTGTGTGTGTGTGTGTGTGTGTGTGTGTGTGTGTGTTGTGTGTGTGTGTGTGTGTGTGTGTGTGTGTGTGTGTGTGTGTGTGTGTGTGTGTTACAGAGAGAGAATTATGAATGTGCATAAGAGGAAAATATGGGAGTATGAGAGAGAAAGTAAAAGTGTATGTGAGAGTTATGCTAGTGTGTGTGTGGGAGGAGGAGTGGCAAACTACTGAGTTTAGTGGCCACCTTAAAAATTAATACATACACGTGGTGACTGGTACACATGAGGACTGGTACACAAAGGGCTGGGACACATGAAGACTGGTACATGAGGACTGATACATATGACGACGGGTAGACATGGGGACTGGTACACATGAGGACTGGTACACATGAGACGGGATAACATGAAGACTGGTACACATGAGGACTGGTACACGTGGGACTGGTACACATGAGGACTGGTACACATGAGGACTGGTACACATGGGGACTGGTACACATGGGGACTGGTACATGGGGGGAGGTAAACATGGAGCATTGGTGCTCACGTCGACTGGTACACATGAGGACTGGTACACATGGGCGATCGGTAAACATGAGTACTGGTGCACACATCGATCGGTACACATGAGGACTGGTACACATGGGGGACCGGTAAACATGAGTACTGGTGACACGTCGACTGGTAACATGAGGACTGGTACACATGAGGACTGGTACACATGGGGACTGGTACACATGAGGATTGGTACACATGGGGACTGGTACACATGAGGATTGGTACAAATGGGGACTGGTACACATGAGGACTGGTACACATGAGGACTGGTACACATGAGGTCTGGTACACATGGTGACCGGTAAACATGAGTACTGGAGACATCGACCGGTACACATGAGGACTGGTACACATGGGGACCGGTAAACATGAGTACTGGTGCACAAGTCGACTGGTACACATGAGGTCTGGTACACATGAGGACTGGTACACATGGGGACCGGTAAACATGAGTCTGGTGCACACGTCGACTGGTACACATGAGGACTGGACATATGGAGATTGGTACATCTGGGGACTGGTACACATGAGGATTGGTACACATGGGGACTGGTACATGAGGACTGGTACACATGAGGACTGGTACACATGAGGACTGGTGCACATGGGGACTGATACAATGGGGACTGCACATGAAGACTGGACATATGAGGACTGGTACTCATGAAGACTGGATACATGAGGACTGGTACACAGGAGGACTGGTACACGTGGGGACTGGTGGCACATGAGACTGGTACACATGCGGACTGGTACACATGAGGACTGGTACACATGAAGACTGGTACAATATGAGGACTGGTACACATGGGGGACTGGTACAAATGGGACTGCACACATGGACCGGTAAACATGGGTACTGGTGCTCACGTCGACTGGCACATGAGACTGGAATAATGGGGACCGGTAAACAGAGTACTGGTGCACACATCGACTGGCACATGAGGACTGGTACCATGAGGGACTGGTCCATGAGGACTGGCATGTGAGGACTGGTACACATGGGGACTGGTACATGAGGACTGGTACACAGTGACTGGTACACATGGGGACTGGTACACATGAGACTGGTACACATGGGGACTGGTACACATGAGGACTGGTACACATGAGGACTGGTACACATGAGGACTGGCATGCATGAGGACTGGTACACATGGGGACTGGTACACATGGGGACCGGTAAACATGGGGTACTGGTGCACACATCGACTGGTACACATGAGGACTGGTACACATGAGGACTGGTGCTCACGCCGACTGGTACACATGAGGACTGGACACATGTGGACCGTAAAATATGAGTACTGGTGCACATCGACTGGTACACATGAGGACTGGTACACATGGGGACCGGTAAACATGAGTACTGGTGCACACATCGACTGGTACACACGAGGTCTGGTACACATGAGGACTGGTGCACATGAGGACTGGTGCACATGAGGACAGGTGCACATGAGGACTTGTACACATGAGGACTGGTACACATGAGGACTGGTACACATGAGGACTGGTGCACATGGGGACTGGCAAACATGAGGACTGGTACACATGAGGACTGGTACACATGAGGACTGGTACACATGAAGACTGGTACACATGAGGACTGGTACACATGAGGACTGGCAACATGGGGAATGGTACACATGAGGACTGGTGCACATGGGGACCGGTAAACATGAGTACTGGTCCACACGTCGACTGGCACACATGAGGACTGGTACACATGGGGACTGGTGCACACATCGACTGGAACACATGAGGATTGGTACACATGGGGACTTTTACACATGGGGACTGGTACACATGGGGACCTTTAAACATGAGTACTGTTGCTCACGTCGACTGGTACACGTGAGGACTGGTACACATGGGGACCGGTAAACATGAGTACTGGTGCACACGTCGACTGGTACACATGAGGTCTGGTACACATGAGGACTGGTACACATGAGGACTGGTACACATGGGGACCGGTAAACATGAGTACTGGTGCACACGTCGACTGGTACAATATGAGACTGGTACACATGAGGACTGGTACACATGGGGACCGGTAAACATGAGTACTGGTGCACACGTCGACTGGCACATGAGGACTGGTACACATGAGGACTGGTACACATGAGAACTGGTACACATGGGGACCGGTAAACATGAGTACTGCACACGTCGACTGGTACACATGAGGACTGGTACACATGAGGACTGGTACACATGGGGACTGGTACATGAGACTGGTACATGGGGACCGGTAAACATGAGTACTGGTGCACACACACGACTGGTACACATGAGGACTGGTACACATGGGGACCGGTAAACATGAGTACTGGTGCACACGTCGACTGGTACACATGAAGACTGGTACACATGAGGAATGGTACACATGAACCGGTAACATGAGTACTGTTGCACACATCGACTGGTACACATGAGGACTGGTACACATGAGGACTGGTACACATGGGGACTGATACACATGAGGAGTGGTACACAATGGGGACTGGTACATGAGTATGGTACACATGAAGACTGGTACACATGAGGACTGGTACATATGAGGACTGGTACAATAGGGGACCAGTAAACATGAGTACTAGTGCACACGTCGACTGGTACACAGAGGACTGGTACACGTGGGACTGGTACACATGAGACTGGCACACATGAGGACTGGTACACATGAGGACTGGTACACATGGAGGACTGGTACACATGAGGACTGGTACACATGAGACTGGTACACATGGGGACTGGTACACATGGGGACTGGACACATGGGGACCGGTAAACATGGTACTGGTGCTCACGTCGACTGGTACACATGAGACTGGCATAATATGTGGACCGGTAAACATGAGTACTGGTGCACACATCGACTGGTACACATGAGGACTGGTACACATGGGGACCGGTAAACATGAGTACTGGTGCATCACATCGACTGGACACATGAGGTCTGGTACACATGAGGACTGGTGCACATGAGGACTGGTGCACATGAGGACTGGTGCACATGAGGACTGGTACACATGAGACTGGTACACATGAGGACTGGTACACATGAGACTGGTGCACATGGGGACTGGTACACATGAGGACTAGTACACATGAGGACTGGTACACATGAGGACTATTACATGAAGACTGGTACACATGAGGACTGGTACACATGAGACTGGACACATGGGATGGTACATGAGGACTGGTACACATGGGGACCGGTAAACATGAGGACTGGTGCACACGTCGACTGGTACACATGAGGACTGGTACACATGGGGACTGGTGCACACGTCGACTGGTACACATGAGGATTGGTACACATGGGGACTGGTACACATGGGGGACTGATACACATGGGGACCGGTAAACATGAGTACTGGTGCTCATGTCGATCAGTACATATGAGGACTGGCACACATATGGACCGGTAAACATGAGTACTGTGCACACATCGACTGGTACACATGAGGACTGCAGGCACATAGACCGTAAACATGAGTACTGGTGCATTACATCGACTGGCACACATGAGGACTGGTACACATGAGGACTGGTACACATGGGGGACCGGTAACATGAGTACTGGTGCACATACTGGACCGGTAAACATGAGTACTGGTACACACATCGACTGGTACACATGAGGACTGGTACACATGAGGTCTGGTACACATGGGGACAGGTACACATGAGGATTGGTACACATGGGGACTGATACACATGGGGACTGGTGCAAACGTCGACTGGTACACATGAGGACTGGTACACATGAGGACTGGTACACATGGGGACCGGTAAACATGAGTACTGGTGCACACATCGACTGGTACACATGAAGACTGGTACACATGGGGACCGGTAAACATGAGTACTGGTGCACACATCGACTGGAACACATGAGGACTGGTACACATGGGGACCGGTAAACATGAGTACTGGTGTACACGTCGACTGATACACATGAGGTCTGATACACATGAGGACTGGTACACATGGGAGCCGGTAAACATGAGTACTGATGCACACATCGACTGGTACACATGAGGACTGGTACACATGAGGACTGGTACACATGGGGTCCGGTAAACATGAGTACTGGTGCACACATCGACTGGTTACACATGAGGACTGGTACACATGAGGACTGGTACACATGGGGACTGGTACACATGAGGATTTGTACACATGGGGACTGGTACACATGAGGACTGGTACACATGGGGTCTGGTACACATGAGTATTTGTACACATGGGGACTGGTACACATGAGGACTGGTACACATGGGGACTGGTACACATGAGTATTTGTACACATGGGGTCTGGTACACATGAGGACTGATCTCGGTAACCACTACTTTCCCCCGGAGCCGCTGCCTCCCATGGGACGCAGCCCACACCTGTTCCTGCTGTGGTCACCTACCCCCACCTTCTCACCACCGCCAGTTGTCACCAGAACTTACCGACCCACCCCCGATTCTGCTTTGCGGCGTTTTGGACAATGGATAACCCGGTATCCCTGGACTGAAGTGATCACTGTAGACGATGTGCAGAACAAATGGGATAATTACCTGGACACTATCACCAAAGCCTACCACCACTTCTTTCCAGCCAAAACACTGAGGATCCACCCCGATGATGTCCCGTGGATTACGCCCCGCATAAAAAGACTTATTGAGCAGCGCAACAAGGCATACTACACCAACAACCGCCTGTACAAAAGTCTACGTAACCAGGTCATCAGGGAAATCAAGTCTGCCAAGAAGACTTATTATCCCAGGAAAGTGCACGGCCTCAAGGAAGTCGGCATCGGTCAGTGGTACTCCAAGGTAAAAGATCTCTGTGGTCTCAACCGTCAGTCTCCCACACTTCCTTTCATCTCACATTTACCTAGTGAGGAGGCAGCTGAGATAATTAATAACCACTTTGCTACCATATGTCATACCTTACCCAGTCTTGACCTCACTCTCCTCCCAGCTTACTTACCTTCCCCCTCCCCCCTCCCAGTGTCCAACCATATGAAATCGCCAACAAACTCCTGAAATTTAAATCCAAACGCTCCACGACCCCAATTGACCTCCCAATCAAAATATACAAGGAGTTTGCAGTCGAACTTGCCACCCCCCCCTGTTCTATTATTAATGCATCCCTCAAACAAAGCAAATGCCCTAATGAATGGAAAACCACATTTGTCACCCCCATCCCCAAGGTCACCACCCCACAGTCCCCTAACGACCTCAGGCCAGTTGCCATTACCCCCAATACCCAGTCTACTTTGTGAGGACTTTGCTTTTAAGTGGGCATTTGCCAGTATCTATCAGTCAATTGATTCACAGCAATTTGGCAATATGCTTGGTGAGCTTTCTGGATTTTCTGCACAAAAACTTGCAGAAACGTATACTGGCCGTTGCACTTGTGGACTTCAGGAAGGCCTTTGACCTTGTTGATCACTGCACTGTCATCAATAAGGCTATTGCGCTAGGGTTGCCCATGGTCTCATGGCTCACTGATTTCTTGAGTGGACGTCGCCAGGCAGTGAGGTATCAGGGCTTGGTCTCTACATTCCAACACCTCACCTGCGGTGTTCCACAGGGGACCAAGATGGGACCACTGTGCTTCCTCATTCTGATCAACGATGCTCTATCGGACACTCCTCACAGGTGGAAGTACGTGGATGACTGCACTGTGGGGGTTTCAGTGGACAACACCGCACCAGACTACTCATCGCTCCAAGGCACCCTGGACAGGCTACAGGCATGGACTACGGAGAACAAGGTCACCATCAACCACACCAAAACCGTAATCATGCGCATCAATACCGCCACCACTCCAGTGCAAGCCCCAGCAGTCACAGTGGGTGCCCATCCTCTCCAGCTGGTGCAGTCTGCCAAACTCCTGGGTGTAACTATAGACAACAAACTTAACTGGAAGGCCCATGTAAATAACACAGTCAAGGCAGCCTCGTACCGTCTCTACATGCTACGAAGAGTTAGGTCACTTGGGACACCCACGCCAGAGCTGAGGACCATCTACAACGCCTTTATTCTCCCCAAACTAACGTATGCGTTACCAGCCTGGTCGTCTTCTCTCAACTCCACCCAACAACGTCAGCTAGAAAAGGTACAGAAAAGGGCCTGCAGAATCATGCTCGGCGCAGAATACTCCGGCTACACCAACGCTCTCTCCACCCTGGAAATGCCATCCCTCAGTGACCTCCACCACCAAGCACTGGAAAGGTTTGGCCGTGGACTACTGCACCACCCTCGCCATCGCCACCTCCTGCCACCTGCAGCCCCCCCACCCAACTCGCACAGTCCGCCACTACAACAAAATTCATCCCATAAGCGCCCGCACCGATAGATATAAGACCAGCACCATCCCATCTATTGTTAAAATAATAAACAACTCCTGATTTTTGTACCGTACAGCCCTGTAAATGTATTCAATGCATATTATATCATTATGTCTAAATCAAATGTAAGTCTATATTTTCAGCCACCGGCTGCAACTCTATTAATAAACCGTTTATTATTATTATTTTTATTATTTTTATTATTATTACATGAGGACTGGTACACATGAGGACTGGTACACATGGGGACTGGTACACATGAGGACTGGTACACATGAGGACTTGTACACATGAAGATTGGTACACATGAGGACTGGTACACATGAGGACTAGTACACATGAGGACTGGTGCACATGAGGACTGGTACACATGAGGCCTGGTACACATGAGGACTGGTACACATGAGGACTGGTGCACATGAGGACTGGTACACATGAGGACTGGTACACATGAGGACTGGTACACATGAGGACTGGTGCACTTGAGGACTGGTACACATGAGGCCTGGTACACATGAGGACTGGTACACATGAGGACTGGTGCACATGAGGACTGGTTCACATGAGGACTGGTACACATGAGGACTGGTGAAATTGGGATTATGCCTCAATCTTAATAGTTGATCTTATGTTGGGACATATTAGGATTGTTACTTCGTAGAACTGGGGACTATTATGACTGGGGACTATTAGGACTGAGGGCTACTAAGGCTGGGGACTAATAGGACTGGGACTATTAGGACTGAGGGTTATTAAGACTTAGGACTATTAGGACTGGGACTATAGGACTGAGGGTTATTAGGACTGAGGGCTATTAAGACTGGGGACTAATAGGACTGGGACTATTAGGACTGAGGGCTATTCTGACTGGTACTATTAGGACTGGGGACTATTTGGACTGAGACTATTAGGACTGGGACTATTAGGACTTGGATCTATTAGGACTGGAACTATTAGGACTGGGGTTACTAGGACTGGGACTATTAGGACTGGGAGCTATTAGGACTGGGGCTATTAGGGCTGGGGGACTGTTAGGACTGGGACTATTAGGACTGGGACTATTAGGACTGTGAACTATTAGGATTAGAGACTATCATAACTGGGAGCTATTAGGACTGTGGGCTATTAGGACTGGAGACCATTATGACTGGTTGCTATTAGGATTGGTCCTATTTGCTTCATGCCCTACTAGGAGAGAGGCCCATTAGGTCCAGGGGTCTATTTGAGCAGCCATCAATAGCACTTAATGGTCATCCATCAGTTATCTCAAACATGATCTACAAGACAATGTTGAGAATGACGTCACTAAGAGAGGAGAAAAAACGACGTTGATGGACGTCCAAAAACAGATTATCCTCAAACGTAAAATGATTTTTGTGAATCTCAGTTGTCGGTACATTTATAGAGTTACTGATGATACGGAGTGCTTTCTGATCTTTTATATTCCATGTTTACGAGAGTAAGTGGCGTGCACTGGTACCTGGAGAGGATGAAGGTAGGAGGAAGGGAAGGAAGGAAGTGGGAGGAGTAAGAAAAGGGGGTTACAGGAAAAGTAGGGAGTGAAATAGGAGGGTTACAAAGGAGGAATGTAGGGAGAGAGGGAGTGAGGGAAGGAGGGTGAGTAACGAGTGGTATAAAAGTGGGTAGAAGTTAAGGAGGAGAGAAGGGGGTGAGAAATTGGTACAAACGAGGGAAGAAGGGAGGGAGGGAGGGAGGGAGGTAGGGAAGGTGGAAGGGGGTTGAGGATAAGGGTCATAAAAGAAGGAGGGAGGGGAAAAAGGAGGAAGTTATGAGAAGAGGGGCCACAAAATAGGGAGGAATAGAAGAAACAGAATAAGTAGGAATAACATACTGTACCCAAGTATCATCACAACAGTACAAAGAAGTCACGATACTGATAATACTTGTTAACATTGTTGTATGGGATAGTGATGGAATTGGGAGGAGTGAGAGAGTGGGGGAGAGTGAGGAAGAGGAGTAAAGAGCGAGAGAGATAAGTGAGAAACAGAGGAAGAGTAAGGGAGTGGGGAAGAGGGGGGGAATGGGGGAAAGTGAGAAAGAGAGCGAGAGTGAGGGACAAAGTAGGTGAGTAAGAAAGAGATGGAGAGTGAGCGAATAGGGAGAGTAAGGGAGAGGGGAAAAGTGAGGGAGAGAGGAAGAGTGAGGGAGAGGGGAACATTGACGTTTTATAATGTCACCCTTTGTTTATAAGCCTCTCTCTGTCCCTGTAAATTCAGTAGCCTCTGAAGACGTCATGAATAAAGACGAAAACTAAGGTGCTCCAGTGTTTCCCTTTTCCTATGTGGTATTTATCAAGATTTATGCTGTCTACGTTTCCATTGTGGGTCTACATAATAAAAAATATATATATATATATATATATATAATATATATATATATATATATATATATATATATATATATATATATATATATATATATATATATATATATATATATATATATGCAAGTATATATATATATATATATATATATATATATATATATATATATATATATATATATATATATATATATATATATATATATATATATATATATATATGAGAGAGAGAGATGATGTGCAGAGTCAGACGAAGGGTGAGTGAATGAGTGAATAAGAGTGTGCATGATTGGGGAGAGGTGAAGGAAGGTAGTCAGATCAGGTCAGGTAATTGCTGAAGACCTTATCGTTTGTGTGTGTGTGTGTGTGTGTGTGTGTGTGTGTGTGTGTGTGTGTATAATAATAATAATAATAATAATAATAATAATAATAATAATAATAATAATAATAATAATAATAATAATAATAATAATAATAATAATAATAATAATAATAAACTGTTTATTAATAGTGTTGCAGCCGGTGGCTGAAAATATACAAACTTACATTTGATTTAGACATAATGATATGCGTTGAATACATTTACAGGGCTGTACAGTACATAAATCAGGAGCTGTTTATTATTTTAACAATAGCTGGGATAGAGCTATTCTTATATCTATGGGCTGAATTTTGTTGTAGTGGTGGACTGCGTGAGGTGGCCGGGGGACTGCTGGTGGCAGGAGGTGGTGATGACAAGGATGGTGCAGTAGTCCACTGCCAAACCTTGCTAGTGCTTGGTGGTGGAGGTTAGTAACAAGTAGTAGAAGCTTCAAAATTGCTGGTAGCGAAATTCAGAGCAGGGAAGATGACAGGGGAAGAAGCAGGGGGTTAGAAAGGGAATTGTAGTAGGAGAGAAAGAGCTCACTGAAAGATGGCATTTCCAGGGTGGAGAGAGCATTGATGTAGCCGGAGTAGTCTGCGCCGAGCATGATTCTGCGGGCCTTTTTCTGTACCTTTCTAGCCGACGTTGTTGGGTAGATTTGAGAAAAGACGACCAGGCTGGTGACGCATACGTTAGTTTGGGGAGAATAATGGCATTGTAGATAGTCCTCATCTCTGGCGTGGGTGCCCCAAGTGACCTAAGTCGTCATAGCATGTAGAGTCGGTACGAGGCTGCCTTGATTGTGTTGTTTACATGGGCCTTCCAATCCATTTTGTGGTCTATGGTAACACCCAGGAGTTTAGCAGACTGCACTAACTAGAGAGGATGGGCACCCACTGTGACTGCTGGAGCTTGCACTGGAGTGGTGGCGGAATTGATGTGCATGACTACGGTTTTGGTGTGGTTGATGGTAACCTTATTCTCCGTAGTCCATGCCTGTAGCTTGTCCAGGGTGCCTTGTAGCGATGAGTAGTCCGGTGAGGTGTTGTCCACTGTAACCCCCACAGTGCAGTCATCCACGTACTTCCACCTGTGAGGAGTGTCTGATAGAGCGTCGTTGATCAGGATCAGGAAGCACAGTGGTCCCATCTTGGTCCCCTGGGGAACACCGCAGGTAAGGTGTTGGAATGTGGAGACAGAACCCTGGTACCTGACTGCCTGACGACGTTCACTCAAGAAATCAGTGACCCATGAGACCAGGTTGGTGGGCAGCCCTAGTGCAATGGCCTTGTTCATAACAGTGCAGTGATCAACAAGGTGAAAAACCTTCCTGAAGTCAACAAGGGCAACGGCCAGTGATGTCTTACATTTCTGCAGGTCTTTTTGTTGGAAATCGAGGAGACTAACTGAGCAGTGTAATGTAGAGGGGGTCCTTATATTTCCAAATTGCTGTGGATCAATTGACTGATAAATTCTAGCAAATGCCCACTCAAAAACAAAGTCTTCACAGAGTAGACAGGGTATGGGGCAATGGCAACTGGCCTGAGGTCGTTAGGGGACTGTGGGGTGGTGACCTTGGGGATAGGGGTGACAAATACGGTTTTCCATTCATTAGGGTATTTGCTTTGTCTGAGGGATGCATTAATAATAGAACAGGGGGGGGGTGGCTAGTTCGACTGAAAACTCCTTGTAAATTTTGATTGGGAGGTCAATTGGGGTAGTGGTGTGTTTGGATTTAAATTTTAGGAGTTTGTTGGCGACTTCAAATGGTTGAACACTGGTAGGGGGAAGGGAAGGTAAGTAAGCCGGGAGGAGAGTGAGATCAAGACTGGGTAGGGTATGATCTATGGTAGTAAAGTGGTTATTAATTATCTCAGCTGCCTCCTCACTAGGTAAATGTGAGATGAAAGGAAGTGTGGGAGACTGACGGTTAAGACCACAGAGATCTTTTACCTTGGAGTACCACTGACCTCCTTGAGGCCGTGCACTTTCCTGGGATAATAAGACTTCTCGGCTGACTTGATTTCCCTGATGACCTGAGGTGGTGAAATAACTCATAGTTTTCTATGGCACAGATCTCAGGAACAATTTGCCACCACGCCTCGGTAATCGCCACAATACCTGCACCAACTGACTTCACTGTGACACTGACCTTCTCCACCTTGTTGCATAAAGATGTAACATTGGACAGCAATAGGGATGGTAGGCTGTACCATAGTCGCGGCACTTCATAGCGAGTACACTGTCTTTCTGGCACTGGCTCAACTTTCTTGTGCTTGCTCGGCGTGATGATAGGGATTCGTCTGGGAATGCGGCGACCTCTTCTGCAGCCGCGGTTGTGAAAGATCCTCAGCGCCTTTAGTAGAGTGATGGTGTGGGGTGGAGGATAGCCAGCACCAGACTTCAGCCGAAAGAGGTCAGTGCGATGATATCGTGGCACTGGAACAAACATATTCACAAGTCTAGCACTCACAGTCACTGACACCTTGAAAATACGCACTGTCTTCCCGTAAAAGTACTGAACTGCCCTAAATTAGCTACAGGTAGACGTGACGACCTTGGCTGCTGCGGATCGCCAGGACACACGTCCTCATTCAGTGAGGTCACTAGTGTGTGTGTGTGTGTGTGTATGTGTGTGTATTGTGTGTGTATTGTGTGTGTGTGTGTGTGTGTGTGTGTGTGTGTGTGTGTGTGTGTGTGTGTGTGTGTGTGTGTGTGTGTGAGTTTAAATAGATAAATGAGTAGGTATAGAGATACATCTAATTAAATTTGTAACTAAATATTACATAAGCTCATACATACACATATATGTATCCACAAATAAATACATACAAATATACATGTATAATCGGCAAGTATACACAGGAAAATATAAAC